GAAAAGGGTAATGGGGGGAAGTAGAGGGTTGAAATAATATGTGAGGGAAGTGAAGAGGGGGAGGGAGGCAGGAAATTGCAGTCTGGAGATCCTGGTGATGTTGGGTGTAGGGGGAAGATGGAACGTATATATATGGGTGGGAGAGGGAGGGAGAGAGAAAGGAGAGAAAAATAAACGGGCAGCAGGGGCGTTAACCCTCGGAAGTATATTTCAGGAATAAATTGAACGGAGGGCGCCTGTGCTTGTCAATTGTACCATAAATCTTACTCTAGTATTATTTCACCAGGGTTGAAAATTTGAAGAAAATCGTATAAGGCGTTCTGAAGTTATAACACAATAGTTGGAGGAAGGCGGTGAAATAGAAGAAAAACACAGTACCTAACAGTATATCGGCTCTGGCATAAATTTGTGCTGTACAGTGCTAGACGTTCACTAAACATTGGAAAGTTTAAGATATAAAAATGCTACTTTTCAATATTTTTCTTTTTGTTGTCATGTTCTACTTAAATTTCTTTACAATCATAGGAGACAAAATAATTGAAAAAAAATCAAGAAAGTACATTTTAATATATTTTCTGTAAAATTGACAAAGTGGCCCCTACAAAGTCCAAATTCAATACAGTAATATTTCTGCTTAAGATATAGCAGTGCTTATGTGCTTGAAGCCGTCCTGAGATGTTCTCTAGTTAAAACTTGAAAGCCAGTTTATTCAATAAAATTAGTAATTTAAAATTTACATTGCTCAAAACGAAAGCCAAGCTCATCAACACTGAAATACCTAATAATAATAATAATAATATGGTTGTACTCAATAATAATAATATTGAGTACAACCATAAAAGGATGTGAATGGTAACTTAGCACGGTGAGGGAGGTGTTGCTTCTTGAGTTATCGTTGTGTCTTAAGTAGGCGCTAATGGACTCGAGTAGAACAAGAGGAACCTTGGGGTAAGAGCGTCATCACGAGTCTTGGCTGTACCATAGCAGTATTGCGATGGCTTGGCTAGGCTATAATATAGAAAAATTTAGACACATGTGCAACATCTGGATATCTTTATTATAGACGTTTCGCCAACCAGTGGCTTTATCAATACAAATTCTAGGACATAATTGGAAACAGAACTTCAATTAAAATATGAGGTAATGAGTCCCTCAGCCGTGGAGTTGGTGTGAAGAGCACCTGCTGCTGAGCAGCAGCAGCAGCAGCAGTAGTAGTAGTAGTAGTATTAGTAGTAGTAGTAGTATTAGTAGTAGTAGTATTAGTATTAGTAGTAGTAGTAGTAGTATTAGTAGTAGTAGTAGTATTAGTAGTAGTATTAGTATTAGTAGTAGTAGTAGTAGCAGCAGCAGCAGCAGCAGCAGCCGCAGCCGCAGCCGCAGCCGCCGCCGCCGCCGTCGTCGTCGTCGTCGTCGTCGTCGTCGTCGTCGTCGTCGTCGTCGTCGTCGTGAAGGTGGTTATGGAGATGTCCTTTGAACCAAGATTCCATGATGTTGCAGTGTCTGACGAGCTGTACATGAACGGTATACAATACCGACACGTTAAAAAATTTAGACATATCAATATAAATTCTTGGACATATTTGGAAACAGTAGAACTTTACACAATTTTTTTTTCAGCTTGTTGGTATTGTATACCGTTCATATAATATAGTTTTGAGGATCATCCCCATGACCGTGATCTAGATCTGGCTTTCCCGTTGATAGCCTCATCATAGAGATTGTGGGTTCAAGCTGCCCATATTTTTGATTGGAAAATATTGAAAACAATCTCGTATATAGTTATCTCATGGTATACATATCGCCCACCTACTTTTCATTTCGGTTATTATACCTTTGAAGAGTTCCGAGAATTTATCTACTCTCTGAGGCCGGCCATGGGCCAGGCTCGTCTGGTGCTTACCTGGTCAACCAGGCTGTTGCTGCTGGAGGCTACCATATCTCTCGCACTCTTAACGAATAATTTCGGAGACAAGTGATTCCAAATCTTAGATAGGTTTACAGCTTCAATATATTAATGGTATAATACTGATAAGTAGATAAGATAGATGTGCAGTAGTTAGATATCTTTTTTTCCGAAACGTTTCGCCTACACAAGAGACTTCTCCAGTCGAATACAGAGGAGACAGCAGAAGCATTGGTGATGTAATGATGACGTAATCAGTCCATCTCCCGGAGTTGTGGAAATGCATATTATCAAAAAATGCAAGAAACAACTATATCAGTCTGTTGGTATTTTATGGAGAACGAGCCTGGACGTTTTCTACGCCCAGAGCCCAGTGCCAGGCTTGTTAGTCAACCAGACTGTGGCTGCTGGCAAACACTGACCCATTGGATGTATCCTTCAGGTATACGACGATTCATATTAGAAGCAAAGTTGCCCAAAATTGCCCATTTTTGTAGTGGCCATGTTGAAGTTTTAAAACTTGCAAAATGCTGAGTGCTGTTATGGTGGCATTTGTCAGAACTTGTACAAGGGATCACTATTAATAATAAATGTGCAGAGAAACATTGGGTTACTAACAATTCTAGGTATTTCATGTATACTGAACTATATATATGGTGTCTTTCGCGTCTCTATGCCAGGGAGTACAAATTGAGAAAGTTTTAGACATTTACCCAGGTGTCTGGATAGACGTGGGCAGAGCTTGTTACTCATTCATATCTGCTATTTCACATTGAGCTATTATTGTACAACATTTCAGTCTAAAGGATAAAAGTGTCTTAAGTGATATGAGAAGTGTAAAATAAACCCAGTGAAAATCAGAGTGCTCTTCTTAAAACCAGGAAACACTTTGTCAGCATCCATGGCCCATGATGAACATTTACTGGTAGATATCAGAAATATTGCCAGAGCAAGAAAGGTAGATGTTTTTTTCCGAAAACTTAAATCAGAACCTGCTGGTTGTGATAACTTTGTAGATCTGAGACCCGTTAGTAATAACAATCTGGTTAATCAGGTAATGAATAGGGAGTGGAAAACTTTCAAAACCGGCCTCAGATAGACCAGTGTTGCGAAGGCTTGGATTTTGTTATGAAGGCTTAGGTAGTTTGGGGGTCTTGGGAATGTTAGTGTAGGTTGGGGTCTTGGACGGCAAGTGTAGGATGGGGTTGAGTGATGAGAAGGTTGGGGCAGTTAGTGTAGGCAGTGAGTCATGAGAAAAGGGTTTGGGCAATGACTAGGAAGGGGGAAGGGAGATGCCTTGAATGGTTTGAGATTTAGTGTTTTATTGTGCCTTTTTAAGGTTCTATACACCACCAGTAGTGGCCCTTAAGTTACTCGTTTTTGGTTGTTGATTCTTCTGAAATCTTAGCAATAAATCTTACATTGCTGCATAGGCCAGGATAATGACAGACAAGAAATAATTCCAGTGCTAACATTTAGAGATTGGACGATACCAAGATTTATTTTATCGATACCGATACTCGGTTTTGGCCGATACCGATACCATCAAAATTTGCCTCTACTTTTGCACTTCTACTAATACTGTTCAAATCACGGAGTAAGATATTAGAGCTGGAAACAATGCAATAACCATTTACAGCCCCCTTAAAACCAGAAAAGGATTTGGAGTACCGGGAACCCCTTCAAGAGCTGGAAATGTACTCTGAGAAAGAAATGCACGATAATATATACATGAAAGATACTAGTTCCAAGTTTGCACACTACCTTAACGTAAAACAATGAAAAGCGTAAAATAGACCCAGTGAAAAGCAGGGAGCCACGGACACAATAAGAAAGCAATGCATGCCTAGATTTTGCAGTCTTCTACAGCACATATTACTGATGTTACTGGAACTAGGTTGGAGGTCAAGGGGAAATTGTATCACTACCTCCGCGGAGTGCTAGATCAGCCAGGCTGTGATGCATATGTGGTGCGGCTGGCTACCAACAGCAACAGTCTTATCGACTAGGAAATCAGAGAAACCAGGCCTCGGACCGTGCTGTGGTTGTAAGAAAACTCCCGAAACAGGTCGCAGGTAGAGCTCAGAACACAGGTTGTGCCTACGTTGGGCTGCATCATTCAGGATATTGGTGCTGCTAGCACCAATATCCTGAATGATCAAGCTATCAACCGAAAGGTCTGGTCTGTGACCAGGCCGCGGAGGGCAATAATCCCTGGTACCATCACCACATAGATACCAGGTAGTACTTTGCCCATAAGGTCAATGTAAAATTCTGCAGCTGTATAGGAAACTAACCCCACAGGCAGGTACAAAAATATTTTCTCCACCTTCCCTTTGAATAACTGTTCTTGCAGATGATGTAGGGGAGTAGGTAGTAGCTTAGAACCTTGAATTAGGGATAAACTCTTGAAATTTAAATATTAAACACAGTTTCTGAATTTTTATATCCTTTAAACACTATAAAACGTCTTATCTGGTAGACTCTTTGTCATCATATGACGAACCTTTGAGAGGCTAAATCTTTCAACCCCTTTATGCACGCTTGACGACACTCACTTTTTTAGAACTCCTCTCGTCCCACGGTAATCCTTCATTCACTGCTGTTCCTTCCCTAGTATCTTCCTCTTTCCCCCTCCTTTCACGTTAAATCAAATTATCATCTATCTGTATTCACAGTTGCTATGCAATCTTTGGATCCGTCCTCTTCATTTTCTCTCTCTTTTTCTTTGTCTTATTCACCGCATAGTTTTGTTCGTTAGCGGTCATATGTCTTTTTTTTTTCTTCTTCCTGCTGTTTGTTCCTCTTTGTGTGTGTGTGGGGGGGGGGGGGTGGAATGGGGGAACTAAACCTTTGAAGCTGCCATAGTTACTGAACCCTTAGCGAAATGCTTGGCAATTTCTCTCGGCTATATGTACCTGCTGGGGTCTAGTCTTAGCTCTTGACCTTACAGAAGTCTCGGCATAGGCTAGATTTTCTTCCTCTGTGTAATTATCGTATAGATCAGGGTAACAACACGCTGCTTATATACACAATTTTGTTTAATTAATTAAAAAAGACCTGGTTCATTAAGAGAGCTTTTTGTTTTGTTTTACAGATCAGCAAGATAGCTCGGTGACTGGAGGCCGGGCGTGCTGAGAGGTTCGTCACTGGTGGGGATACAGGTCAGTATACAGCTCAAACTTTCTTTTAAATTTATGCGTGAAGCGGTAGACCCGTGTTGTCCATTGAGCAGGTGAAGGCTCGATTTTAGGAAACCCTTCCTAAATACGAACATGCAGGATTTGACAGGGTGTTTAGGGAAAGGATTATAATGTGTGACTTCGGTCTTGCACAATCAAGACGCATGTTGCATCGTTTGCTTATTATTACTAGGAGTCCACACTGCCCTGGGGTCGCAGTTCGATGGCCGAATAATAGGCCAGTCATTCTGGGGTAAAAATAATTACCAAGAGGTTGAGACTGCACATGCATCATTCTGGGCTAAATAATTACACAGAGGTGAACTGAAATGATCATCTGGGGTAAAAATATACCAAGAGGTTGGACTGACATCATCATTCTGGTAAAAATGTACCAAGTTGATTGCACATACATATTTTAGCTCTTAGTTATATTAAAAAGCAAAACATCGTGTATCTGTGCTATAACGTCAGTTTGGAAAATGGTGGCATTCTAATTTGTAACGACTCTTAGGTTTGAGATAGCAAAACATATTTTAAACAATTAAAGGACTAAAAGATAAATTGTTTGGTCATTACCATTTTACTGTAAGTACAACAGGATGGTAGGTAAGACACATAGGCAGCAGTTAGGCAACTTTATTCCGAAACGTTTCGCCTACACAGTAGGCTTCTTCAGTCGAATACAGAAAGTAGGCAGGAACAGTAGAGATGTGAAGACGATGTAATCAGTCCATCACCATTGAAGTCGGTATTGTATACCATTTTGATGTTCAAGTACAACAGGAGCCGAGCTACGACTGAAATAAAAGTTGCCATTTTTACGCATTAAAATTTTTCAACCCCCCACCCCCAAAATACCATGATTTTTGAGGTGTACAAGGTAGGAATCGATTAGCAACCAATGACCTGTTCACCTGGAAGATTTCTTACGACCGAACTATGTGGTTTTATTCCCCCATCCTTTCCCCGAGAAATGAGGCATACAATGGTCAAGGCCTGGTCTTGGACCGGGTCGCGGGGGCGTTGACCCCCGGGACACCCTCCAGGTATACTGGACCACAGGAGCGTTGATCCCCGGGACACCCTCCAGGTATACTGGGCCACAGGAGCGTTGATCCCTGGAACACCCTCCAGGTATACTGGACCACAGGAGCGTTGATCCCTGGAACACCCTCCAGGTATACTGGACCACAGGAGCGTTGATCCCCGGGACACCCTCCAGGTATACTGGGTCACAGGAGCGTTGATTCCGGAACACCCTCCAGGTATACTGGGCCACAGGAGCGTTGATCCCGGAACACCCTCCAGGTATACTGGACCACAGGAGCGTTGATCCCCGGACACCCTCCAGGTATACTGGGCCACAGGAGCGTTGATCCTCTGAATGACCTCCAGGTAGCAGGTATACCCTCCTTTGATGCATAAGAAAGAATGAACTGGAAAATGAAAAACATTGTCAGAACAAGTAAAATTTATTACTTAGAATATAAAACTTTTCGAATATACAATATAACATTGAAATTATTTATTTCAAGTGGGTTTTTATTAATATATTTTGCTATAATCAAGTTCTTTCATAAAAACATTGAGTTTTTTCAAATGATCTTCCTTCACACACCGCTGAACACACGTGAACTGCTTTCTTGCACTCACTAGTCTTGCAATAAATCTTAGTTGCAAGTAATTAATTGTAATAGCTTGTCAGGTGCTGGAGGCAAGAGTTGTGGGTACAGGGATAAGCGAGTTTCCTTCGAGGCTGTAGCCTCATGTGGATGAGTTAAAGGTCATGTCCTAACCTCTGTTGGACCTGAAAAAAACTATAGGAATACTGATCAGCAGTTGCTGTTGCGGGAGAAAGTGTGGTAAAATCATAGTGTGATTGAACCTGTTGTTTCGGCATTGTTGCATGTATAGATAATATCGACATTCATTCAAAGACTTTCTTATTAAATAACAAAAAAAGGCACAATACCGTGACTGGAACGATACACAAATAACCCGCACATAAAAGAGAGAAGCTTACGACGACGTTTCGGTCCGACTTGGACCATTGACAAAGTCACACTAACCAGAGGTGGAGCAGGACGGCTATATATAGGCAGGAAGAGGTGGTGGTAGTAGTAGTAGTAGTAGTACAAGAGTTGTATATAATACTACTACTACTACCACCACCTCTTCCTGCCTATATATAACCGTCCTGCTCCACCTCTGGTTAGTGTGACTTTGTCAATGGTCCAAGTCGGACCGAAACGTCGTCGTAAGCTTCTCTCTTTTATGTGCGAGTTATTTGTGTAACTTTCTTATTAATGATCCATAATATCACGATGAATTCCTGACCAACTTCAGCTAAGTCTGTCTTACCTGCATTGACCTGGTTAAATGTTTTTATTTTTACCACCAGCTGCTCATTTTTTTTTAGAATCTTTAAAGCTTTCGCTTTCCCTTCTCGGAAATTACTGGATGTTATAACCAGTCACTGCCTGTAAGAAAAGAAGCACTTTTATGTCTTTGTGAATCTCCCGTTGCTTGGAAAATTTCAATACACTTTTTCCTTTGCTTCCTGTTTGTGGCCTGAACGAAAGCTCATATTCAGTGCAAGAAAGTGATGTAACACCAAAAGATCTGTATCTTGGCCGACCACAATGACAAGATCACCTTCAGCCGCATGATATAAAGTTGTCTCATAGCTTGCTTACCTGTTTGTCAACTGCCTAATCACATGTCATACTGACATCTACAGCACCAGAAGAAAGATCAACAAGACTCTGTTACCTCAAAAAGATTGTGTTGCCTCAGACAGTTATCTAGTACCTCTTTGAAATCAGTTCTCATTCTGCTGCCTCTTAAGTCTTCGTGTTGCTCAGAGGTATCATGGGAAAACTGACAAATAAGACACCGTGCAACCCTTGGGAAACTTGATTCTGGAAACGTTCCGCCAGCCAGTGGCTTCTTCAGTCCAATACATTGGATTGAAGAAGCCACTGGCTGGTGAGACGTTTCCAGGATAAATGAAGATTCCTAAGGGTTTCACAGTCGTCTTATTTATCATCTTGTCAGTTTTCTAAACCATTTACTCAAAATCACGGGAAAGCTCTGTGAACTTTTTAATTGATGAGACTTCGCCAGTCAATACTGGAACGCATCATATCTAGTTCATCAAAGTATTTTCATGAGGACTACGACCTCTCCACTCTTAATACACTGAAATGTTAGGAAAACTTGATGAAAAATACATCACAGTTTTCCAATTCCACTCTCCAGCACTGTTACATATTTGGTCGAAACTTCTAATGAGACTCAGTAGCTCCTCATTTGTCGACACTTCAGTGCATGATGACATGCAATGAAATAGGCTAGAAACTTGTGTCTATGGTGTCATACATGTTTTTATTAAGAAATAGAATTATTTAATACATAAAACTTTTTGCTAAAGTAAAACTTTTACCATTCTTAATACCACAGATTTTTTTTTTTTTTTGAGGAAAATTAAAAGGCGTTAAAATTGGAACTTTTGTATCGGCTGTAACTCGGCTCCCGTTAAACTTACGGTAAAAATGGTAATGACCAAAAATGTTTATATTTTTGTCCTCTATTTTTTTTATTAAACCATTTCTGTCTTCAACCGTTGAAAGAGTTAATACATAAAAACCCAAAAATATCCGCCATTTTCCCAGACAGGCCTTGGCACAGTATGTACGAGTGTTGAATTTTGTTATTAAAAAAATAATTTCAACCTGATACATCGTTAGCACAAAATTGGATGACATTTAATATAGCACCTGGAAAGCTCTGGGTTATGCAGAACATTTCGAGCAAGCTTAAACCTAATTTTAAAACTAAATGAACAATAAAATTTTATATATGTATAGAACATTAAAGATGTACACACTAAAATGAATACGACTTCGTGAATACTAGAACTATGTATGGACAAAGTAAAATTGGACTATAATTCTTATATTGAGTGAAGGTCTTATTGACGACAGAATTTAAGCGAGACGTGTAGCAGGGCAAGTCTTTATTGGGACAGTTTCACACTTTTACAAGTCATGGCTTGAAGAAGCTCTCCTTAGAGCGAAACGTTGTCACAATAGAGGCATTGTACGGCTACACGTGGTTATACTCATTGTGTGTGTGTGTGGAGAGAGAGAGAGACACAGACAGACAGACAGAGACAGACAGACACATACAGAAGGGAGGTAGTAGAGCACTAGCTAAAAATTACAGAAAATAGCCCTAATTTCTCACATAAAAATATTCGAAAGAGTGATGAAACGGCAGATGACAAATTTCATTGACCAGCATAACCCGAACCAGCATGGTTTTAGAGGACGACGATCATGCATGTCACAGAATTACAGAGGCGTTGGAAGACAACCAAAACACACATGTGATTTACACAGATTTTGCAAAGGCATTTGACAAATGCGATCATGGAGTGATAGCGCACAAAATGAGGGCCTTGAGCATTAGTGAACAGAGCAAGATGATCCAGCATCAGCGAGGTAAAAAGTTCAGTGCCCCAAGGCACTGCCCTGGCACCTTTGCTGTTTCTCATCCTCATAGCAGACATAGATAAAAACAGCCGTCACACTTTTGTATCATCATTTGCAGATGACACTAAAATAAGCTTGAAAGTCACTACGGTAAAGGACACTGAAAATACACAAATAACCCGCACATAGAAGAGAGGAGCTTAAGACGACGTTTCGGTCCGACTTGGACCATTTGCAAAGTCACAGTGTGACTTTGTAAATGGTCCAAGTCAGACCGAAACGTCGTCGTAAGCTCCTCTCTTCTATGTGCGGGTTATTTGTGTATTGTTCTAGTCACGGTATTGTGCTTTTTTTTGTTATTTATTGACACTGAAAAATTACAGGAAGACATAATTAGGGTTTTCCAGCGGGCAGTGGAGAACATGACTGTGATGGGTATGTGGGGCAGCAGGCCTCCAGCAGCAACAGCCTGGTTGATCAGGC